TTGTTGTTGTTAATAATTTATTATTGCCCACACCATCACCACACTACCCCAGATTGTGTTGTTGTTCGCCATGGTTGCCCACACATGGGTCAAGGCTGTCCACACATTGGCTAAAGTCTGCCCACACATTGGTCAGAGTCTGCCCAAAGTTTGCCCACACATTGGCCAGAGTTTGCACAGACATTGGCCAGAGTCTGCCCAGAGTTTGCCCAGACATTGGCCAAAGTTTGTCCAGACATTGGCCAAAGTTTGTCCAGACATTGGCCAAAGTTTGTCCAGACATTGGCTAAAGTCTGCCCACACATTGGCCAGAGTTTGCCCACACATTGGCCAGAGTTTGCCCAAACATTGGCCAGAGTTTGCCCAAACATTGGCCAGAGTTTGCCCAAAGTCTGCCCACACATTGGCCAGAGTCTGCCCAAAGCTTGCCTACACATTGGCCAAAGTCTGCCCAGACATTGGCCAGAGTTTGCCCAGACATTGGCCAAAGTCTGCCCACACATTGGTCAGAGTTTGCCCAAACATTGCCCAAAGTTTGGCCAAAGTCTGCCCACACATTGGCCAAAGTTTGCCTACACATTGGCCAAAGTCTGCCTTGACATTGATCAGGGTTGGCCAAATACTGACTAGGGTTGGCCAAATACTGACTAGGGTTGGCCAAATACTGACTAGGGTTGGCCAAATACTGACTAGGGTTGGCCAAATACTGACTAGGGTTGGCCAAATACTGACTAGGGTTGGCCAAATACTGACTAGGGTTGGCCAAATACTGACTAGGGTTGGCCAAATACTGACTAGGGTTGGCCAAATACTGACTAGGGTTGGCCAAATACTGACTAGGGTTGGCCAAATACTGACATGTATACATACCTGATGATGGCCCAGGACGTGGTGATACAGTTCCATTCTTGTCATGGATGTTTTCATCGGGTTGACCTTCACCAGGTTTGGGTAATTCTGGACTTTCACCAATCAGCTCATACTCCTTGTCATCTTCAAGTTTGTCATCACTTGGAATGAAAATCAATATTTGTAAAAATCAATGAAATCCATGCACATAAAGCAAAACTCATGACAGACTATGGATTGGCAATGTCCATAAATAAGACTATAATTGTCACTTACCAATGTAAGATGTTATAACTAACTCATATTGCTGCAGAAAGTCATCCACTTTGAGTCGGCTACCATTAATTATAGCAAAATCACTCAAAAATTTGTCATTGTTCTCTGTCAGGAAAGACAAAAATTACAATTAAAAAGGATCAGTCATTTGTCATACAAGTGTTATAAGTTTCTACGACTTTTCCCTCAGAATAAGAAATCTGAATGACTATAATAATAAACCCTGTTAAACAAAACTTTGCTACGATTTTTCAGTGATTTGATGTTAGTCATTAGTTAATATTTAATACTGAATTCTCACCTTCACATTACAAGTAACCTCATTTGTAAACTACACTATTCAAATTCTCACCTTCAGTCTCCCCTTCCTCACTGGATATAAGTATAGTACCTTTGCCATCGTCTATTTCTACATCAGGGGCAACCACTCCCAATCCAACCTTTAAAACCTAAAATAATAAAAATATTGGTCTCACAAGAATTGATAACTTTGACTGAAACTTTATTTTAAATCCATAAATACTGTAAAATACTTAATTTAGCTGGAATTAATTTTCACCAAAAATAGTGCTATTTTCACAGATTTTGGACAAGTTTAATGTGAAATATAGGAAAAAAGGTATACTCACTGGATTTTATTTTCACTAAATCATTCAGCGAAAATAAAGTATTTTACAGTAACATAAATAAATCCATCTTTTACAACAAAATACAGATGTCTAAACTGAACAATGCAAGTTGATTACCTTTTCTTCCAATGCCTTCACTGTGAGTGTCTTTGTATTAAGTTTAACAGTAACCTGCAATGAAAACAAAATAACTGCTTATATCCTGTTCTACATTAAGCTCACTGTAAAAAGAAATTCCATAATTATGTATACTAATCTATCACATATCTGTCGAGATGTTTTTGACACCAGTGTCAGTGTGCATTATGTCATAATATAAATGAAAGTATCACTGATTTTTGTTGCACCATTTCAAAAGAATGACTGGCAACAGGAACTTATTGGGATTACTGTCTTATCAAAAAAGAAAGTGAACCACTGTACATGTGGATCAAGAAAAGATGGCACAATTCAAATGCTTTAAGAGAAATGCAGCAGGCACAAAAGTTGAGATTAAACATAAATGCTAGTTAAAATTTGAGTAGTAAAACAGCAATAAACAGATCTATTTCCAAGTAATGCAGTCACCACCACTGACATAGCTGAAATACAAGGTCAACTACGGTAATGTTCAATCGATACGTCACCAGGTAATATAAATACATGGCTTCCAGATGACTTACTTCTGGTTTTGGAGAACACACGTAACACTTGGCATATGGCTCAACCAAGGCACAGGGTACGACCAACTTTTTACGAGCATTAGGGCACCGACTTAAATAAACCTAGTGAGAAAAAAACAACTTAATTTTCAAGTTGATGAGCAGACACATTTTAATATAATTTTGGAAATAGTTGTTCTGTCCTATAAACATGCAAAAATACAATTCTGTTGTAGAATATGAAGACTTGATCTTTTCTCACACATCTACTGCTATAAGTAATCATGCAATTTTTTAAGAGGCATAAATCACAGTATCATAATATATACTTTCAACACTATGATTACTTGATCTTTTCTCACACATCTACTGCTATAAGTAATCATGCAATAAATCACAGCATCATAATATATAATTTCAAAACATAATTTTAAACTATGCATTCCAGCTTGTCACCTCAATATTGTTTCCTACACCAAAACACCAACATTGTCAGCTGGTGTTTTCAAAATTGATTTATTTCATGAAGTCATAAACTGTCTTCTCTTAATGAGTTTGTGGTACATAGTTGTAATCATGAATTGGTTTTGAGGTGTGCATAGCGAATAAGTCAGCATGCTAGCTGACAATGTTGCTGTATCGTGGTGACAATAATGTTATTAGAGATATACCGGAAATATTTTATATTTAACCATTACATAACTTACTGTTTTACACTTGTCCAGATTTCCAGCGAGTACTTTCAAAGCCTCTAGTACAATAAGGCCAGCTATGATTGCATTTGTAGTAGCAATGGCTGGAATGATATTACCCGCCATAGATTTCACATCAAATAGACTCTTGGTAGCTATTCCAAATATATGTGCCCTTATATTGGAAGCAGCAGTTACAAACTCCATGGATGCTGCATCATCCTGCAAAGACAAGCAGTGATTGGTGCATAGTAAACACGTGATATACTGAAATGCATTATGGAAAATCAATGCAAATTTACTTCCATGAAAATTGTTTGCAAATCTGCAAGTATGATAAAAATTCATTCAATGTGTGTCATAGCTCCGCTGTTAGCAATGCACATTACAATTAAAGAACAGAAGACATCATTAAAAAATGAACAATATGTATAGTATCAAAGCAATCAGACTTGCGGTTTTCAACAAGAATTCGAAAATATCACTTTTTACCAAAAATGACAAAAATATTCATTAAAATTAGAGAATTAAAGATATCATCACGAAATGAACAAATCTGAGAGAGGTCCACATGTAGTACCTATATATGTAATATCAAAGCAATCAGACTTGCGGTTTTTAACAAGAAGTCGAAAGATATCAATTTTTACCAAAAATGATAAAAATATTCATCAAAATTAGAGAATTAAAGATATCATCACGAAATGAACAAATCTCAGAGAGGTCCACATATAGTACCTATATATGTAATATCAAAGCAATAAGACTTGCGGTTATTAACAAGAAGTTAAAATATCACTTTTTACCAAAAATGACAAAAATATTCACCAAAATTAGAGAATTGAAGATATCATCACAAAATGAACAAATCTAAGAGAGGTCTACCCAAGGTACATATACACCAAGTATCAAAGCATTCAGACTTGTAGTTTTCAAGAAGAAGTTGAAAAACTAAAACATGGACACGGACGACGGATAATCACTCATATGATAAGCTCCGCTCGACAAAGTTGACAGCAGAGCTAAAAATGACATCCAACCACCACAATAATTGTCATATCATTTTTCAGATTAAAATTGAACAGAAATTCATTCAGGATCTGGTGGATTTGAGGAAAGGATGTCATATTTATATTGATGTATATAGTGCAATAAATGAATCACATGACAAGACACTATAATAATGACTTCACCTTCTACCACTATACAAACATAATGACAATACCTTATCCCATGCCAGCTCTCCTCGTTCTTTATACTGCATTTTTATATTCCCAATAGAATTTTTGAAGTTTTGAGCACATTCTTGTATATTCCATACTCTTTGGTCCCTGATGCCGGTTGATGAGCTACTCTACTTTCATCTGTATGGCAGAATGAACGAAATCTGACTGAGTAAAAAACTAAGGATCTCAACTACAACACTCATGATAGTAAAACGGTGAATAAACACTAAGAACTCTAATGAATGTAAAGATCCTGACCATTTACATTTGTCACAATATAATTAGATGTGCGACCTTTGATATCTGTAATGCCACAAAAATACCAGGATGTGCGACCTTTGAAATCATCATCTGTTATGTCACAAAATACCAGGATGTGTGACCTTTGTCATCTGTCAAGTCACAAAATACCAGGATGTGCGACCTTTGTCATCTGTCAAGTCACAAAATACCAGGATGTGCGACCTTTGTCATCTGTCAAGTCACAAAATACCAGGATGTGCAACCTTTGTCATCTGTCAAAATACCAGGATGAACAACCTTTGTCATCTGTCAAATCACAAAATACCAAGATGTGCAACCGTTGTCATTGGGTATGTCACAAAATACCAAGATGTGCAACCTTTGTCATTGGGTATGTCACAAAACACCAAGATGTGCAACCTTTGTCATCTGTCAAAAATACCAGGATGAACAACCTTTGTCATCTGTCAAA